TTATAAAACAGAAATGTTAATTAATCATCATAAATGTTTTGCAGTGATTTCTCTTAAGAGTCTATCAGAAGAAAGCTGAAAAAAGGTGATCATATCCTGTTGTGAACAGCCACAGAATTTTAACCTTGGGCTGGCGCCCTGGCAAATCTTTTATCTTTCTTTCTCTGACTCATCTCTAAGCCTGAGGGCGGAACCAAAGTTCGTCCGTTTCTTTTACTAACCCGGACGTCTTTGAGCGACACACTTCTTCTTCCTGACTCCAACCTAGGAAGAAAGCTGAGTTTCTCTCCGGAGGACTCAGTTCGGCTTTTAGGTCTGAGCCCATGAGCCAACTAGGGAAGACTTAACAGCCAGGGACCCGGCACGCCAGCCGGCACTCCCACCCTGAGGCTTCAAGCCTCTAAGTGTGTTTTCACCTCCCGTGGGGAGATTTTATTTTGAAAAGAAGGGACCGGATAACAGCTTGAATTTTTCTGGCTTGGACTGAAACAAACGAAAGTTACCTGGAAAAACACCTACTCGCCAATGACTGGTAAGCGAGCCGACATTCAGTTCCCTGACTGATCGGAGGCGAGCCAGCTCCTACCCCGAGGGTGCCTTAAGAAGTCATCATCAGGTAAAGCTGACGTGTTCGGGTGACGTGTCATGTGGACCCTGAGCGCAGAAAAGACGTGCAGTTTCCGGTTGACCCACACTTTGAAAAAGTAAAAGTAGTAGTAAAATACTAATCTTACTTTCCTCCTTTCCGTGTTCTTTATTTGCCAAAACTTAAGCTGAAAGTGCCAGTAAAATTGTTTGGTTGTTAACATCAGAACTGATGTTTTACTGTTCAATATAAGAAATCTAAGTTGATGTGAATTGAAATTCGGACGCGGGTTTTATCTCATTTAACTTGGACACTTTTTATAGGAATACACAATTAAGTGTATTTTATGATTTGTTCAATTTGTGTAAATGATTGCATAGTCTTTTATGAATCAACTTGAACTCGTCTGAACGTTCACTTGTTCACTTTTCACTTCGCACAGTCAAGATATTAACAAGTAATGAGAAATACCTTGGTAAAAGTTTCCTCATAACCTTGTGTATGAGAGATGTGGGAGAAGCTTAATACCACCTTAAGCTCACCTCCTACATATATCAATAGCTTTGTCTAAAGTACGCTCAGGGCCTAGACTCAGCAATTTTTCCTGTACTTTTGTTGAGTTTGTGGCAAAAACAATACAATCACGTACCATTTCATCACTATTTGTATAGCCACAATCCTGGACCAGAAGTTTAAGCTCAATGACAAACTGCTCAAAAGACTCACCATTACTTTGCATCTTCTGATGAAACATATCTGGCGAAGATAGGATTAGCTTTGGGTGTGAGATATGCAGTAAATCCATCTTAAAGTGTATCTTACCCCACTGTGAAAAGATAACTCCTCCCCAAGGCGAAATTTGAAAAATGCATCAAAGTGGGTAGGGGAGGGGGGTTAGACAGCGGAGGTGTGGCCAGGACGAGAGAACCCAACAGCCTCAGCTGAGCTGTCTGCCTCACACCACACCAGCCTCGGACAGAGGAGTGGAGCGCTCTGCGACAGCCTGACAGAAAAAAATAAAAGCATACAGCTGCAGCTGCTTACAGGATCGCTAGTTTAAATCATGAATAAAAGTGTTGGGTCTTGTT